TGCACATCGATGTACACGTCGGTGCGCAGTTCGATGTTGCGTTTCGGGATGTATGACGATTGCAATCGACATGGAATTTCGATACGCATGCCGATGTGTTTTTGATGGAAGTTCGTCGATCAAGTCCGCCACCGCGCTGGCAGCGGTTGGTGTGCGTCGAGCCCCTTTTCACTTGTTCCGTCGCAGCCGCGTCCCTTGCGAAGCAACAGCTATAGGGCCCCCTTGGCGCGTCCAGTCCAACACACCTCCAGTTGTTCGAGCCAAGGCCTTGCTCGAGCCACCCAATCAAAACAAACAAACATTAAACTAATACATTAAACAAAATAAGCACGCAATAATCGAACACAAACATAAGAACCGAAACACACATAGGGCTTTCCTGGCAGGAATTAGCGGTCCCAAGTATTGCGTTTGGGGGAGGGGAGGGGGGGTCTATGGAACCTGCCCTTTCCCAGCCGCTCGCCCGCCCGCCCCCCCCCCCCAGACCTCCGTCATGACTTTTTCGCGGCGTGGACCCACCCTGGCGGTCTGGACTCATTCGCTGGGGACCCGTTTTTCGTCCTGGGTCTTTCTGTGACGGTCCCGAGAGCAGGGGAGGGCCCCCAGAAGCCGAAACTAGCGACAAACTCCCCCTTCATGTTTTTTCATGTCCCGCGGGAGTCTTGGCCCCTTGCTCGCCCCCGTGGAGGTTCGCAGGGCGTTCGCCGGAACGCCAAGACGGCCCCCGCTGGACTCCAGGACGGCCACCACTGCCTGCGGGTCGGCCGCGGTAGCTCCCTGCGGCTTCCATGGCGGCCCAGCACAACCTCGGATGCGGCCGCGGTGGCCGCAGGACGGCCCCAAGAGGCCGCGGAGACGGCCACAGAAGGCACCAAGGGACCTTCAAGAAGCATGTGGGAGGCGAATTTCTGTTCTTTATATGTATATATATGTATATATAAATGATTTTAAACAAGTTTTGCATTCTCGCCTTGCTGTTCTTGACATCGTCCAGTATGACCCAAGAAGCCCTCAAGATCGCCCCAAGACGGCCCAGGAGGCCCCACGAGGCTCCCCGGAGGCCCCTCAAACGCCCAAAGAAGTTCCAAGAGGAGCCGTCGGCTCCTGCACGGGGGATAGCCCTCCGCGGAGAGGGGCCTAGCCGCAACGCGGAAGACTCCCCGGGGAAGTAGCCGCAGATGCTGGTTTGAGCTCCGCATAGCCTTAAGTCGGGCCTGTCCCCCTACAAGATGAGTATCCGAAAATAGAAAGAATAGTCTGGGGACAATGTTTCTATCACGTGCGATGTTTGGTGAATATTTGTTGAGTGCTTTTATGTTTCGTCCAAAATCCGCCTGTAGGGGGACATGCCCGACCTACGCCTAGCCGCATCGCACGAAATATTTCCCGGTGAAGCAGCCGCAGATGCTGGTTTGAGCTCCGCATACCCAGTGAGGACCCGCCAACCCCGAGAGGATCGGATCATGAACTAATTATGCGCTACTGCTTGAAAGTCGCGTCCTTCACTCCAGACCTCCACCGCGGCGATGAAGCTTTCCATGAAGACCCCAGACGGCCCAGAGCGGTCCCAGAAACGGCCTCCGCGGGCGCCAGACGAGCCAAGAGCGCCCAAGGACGACCCCAGCGGCCCCCGAGAGGCCCGCGTGGGCCGCCGAGGAGAAGCCCCCAGGACCCCCCCCCCCCACCCGCCTGCGAGGTGCAGATGCAGCACTTGCTCTTGGCAGCGACCCGCGCAATCTGTATCTCTCAGTTCATTGAACGTGCCGTGAACGCACCACGGCTTCTGCATACATCATTGTCAAGAAACCTACCTCTTGGAGTCCAGGAGTCACGCGACACGGAGCGGCCCCAAGATTGCATGAGCGCTCCCCGAGAGGCGCCGATTTCCCTGAGGAGACCGCAGGCCTTCTCCATCAGATGCAACGCGCAAGCCATACAACGCCACGCCCACGCATCGCTGCGGTCTGACTGCGCTGCCTCCCCAAGCGTGGTGGCGGATTTGCGCGGCAGCGCAACTGGACAGTTGTCCAAGCCGATCCGAAGTTAGGCTTGCATTCAGCTTTGCGTTCCGATTTGCATGTCGGTTTGCATGATGGCTTAGATGTTGATTGGTACCCCGAATTCCGTGCTGATGTGAATGCCGATTGCAATGCGATATTCTTATCGGCTTGTATTTCGATCGGCGTGGATTGCATGCCGATTCGACGTTCGAGTTGGATGTCGATGTGCATGTCTAGGCCTAATCCTACTCACAGTTTGATGTCAGTTCGATGTGTGTTTGCAGTGCACGCTGGTTTTAAATTTGGCGTGTGTTGCGATTGCACGTTGATCGCACTTCGTTTCATTTACAAGTGCATTTCGTTTTGCATGTCGGGTTGCCTTTCGGTTTGCACTTCGATTTGCATACGGGTTGGAATTCTATTCAGAGTTCGACTGCCTTTGCCACGCGGCACCATTGGACAACCACGGGACATCAACGGGGAATGCACGGGATAGCCGTGGAACAGCCTCGCAATAATCATGGGACACCCGCGGGACACATCACGGGACCACAGGATAGCCATGGAACAGTTTCGGGACAATCATGGGACACCCACGGGACACATCACGTGACAACCACCGGACAACCATGGGACAACCACGGGAGAACCATTGGTCATCCACGGGGCGATCACGGCAAGTCACCGCAAGGCGCACACTTAATTTTGTTGTGCCCTTTGGGCCTTAGTTATGCTTAGGTGTTGTCGCAGTCGTCCAGCTTGGCTTCGACCACAAAGCGCGACACGAGCCGACGAACCGAACTTGAAACCGATGCCATGGCTGAAGCCATTTTGTTTGCACCAACCTCCGATCCGCCTCGTCATTGATGCCGTGAACCTGGTCAGCGCTGGCCTCGTCCTGGAACTCATCCTTGTCCTCACCCTGCTCTCGTTGCCACCCTCGTCCTCCTCGCCCTCCACGTTCCATCATTGTGTTTCTCATGCTCGTCTTGGTCATCGTTGTCGTCCCGCCCCCATCTCGTCATCTCAGGAGGGAAGGGAACACATAGACACAATTCATCGTTGCCTCCTGGGGAAATATTGGGAACATGTGGGAAGTGGGGGGGCGACGAACACCCTCAACATATTGCGAATTAGCCTTGCGAGGGACCCAACCATATGCAGTTGTGAGTACCGTCGTTGTTAGTATCGCCTTTGGTGGATCTCCTCATGGGGCCACGAAGCGCGTGAAGAGTGCCGAAATGGAGCGGGGCCGCCATGCGGGCGTTGCTGCTGGGGCCTGATGTAGACCCCCTTCATGGGCCACAAAACGTGTGAGACGCGGAGCGAGCTGCAGGCCCTGACGGCGCTACGCCTGTACCTGGAGGCGGACTTGGAGGCGCCGTGGCTGGAGAAGGTCTACCTGGCGGACGCGTCGGACGAGGCCGCGGCGGTCACGGAGGCCTCCACCGACGAGATCAGGGCGGAGACCGGCCGTGGAGCGCTGCAGTCGTGGACGATACAGGCGGCGCGGGCCTACGCCGACATCGAGCAGGAGGTGGGCGCCGCAGGGCGAGGAGGAGGACAACGCGATCCGCCCAGAGATGGGGCGGCCGGGCTTCCTGGAGCTGTTCGCGGGCAGCAAAAGGTTACTGCAGGCGGTCCTCGCGATATCTCTTTCTTGGGGGGAGGCTTGGGACGTGATGAAGGGCAGCGAGTTCGACTTGCTCCACGTCGCGAACCTCGAGCGGCTCTTCCGACGTCTACGCTGGCGGTGGTGGTGGTGGTGGTGGATACACATGGCACCTCCATGCGCTACCTTCTCACGGGCTCGACGCCTCGCCCCTCGCACAGCCGAGTACCCTTGGGGACTACCAGGACTGCCCCCGCTCGAAGAAAGCCCTGATGATGACACCCATGGCCTCCATCGGGATGGGCTCGCCTTCCCCGCCGAAACCCATGCGCCTCCAGCTTTTGAGGGCCCTGGCGGCGACGGGCAAACGATTCCTATGGTCTTCGAAAATGTGCATGAAGCCATTGAAGAGGTAGCTGGCCTTCATGTAGCTGGCCCGCTGCACGTAGCACATGTCCGCGATGTACCCGGTCAGCGCCCTGTCGCGCTCGGCGACGGTGGCGAAGGGGCTTTCGCCTCCAGCTCCCCTCCATGTAATATCCCACACGACGTGTTCTACATAACATAGCTTACACTGCGCATGTTTCATTTCCATAGTTCACACTACAGCTTACCACTACATAGCTTATACCACATAGCTTGCACCGCTTAGCTGTCTCCTCGACCGTGCAATCACGCACTCTTTGGGATCCACGCTGGCAATCACCGCATTGATTCTAGCGTGCAGCAGCTAGGCAAGAAAAGATGCAGCCACTCGGACAAGGAGCAGGAGAGGAGGAAGGAATGAGGGATGGTGAGGCGGAGGCGGGCATAAGGATGAGATTCGGATGATAATGGGGAGGATGAGGAGGAAAAGGATAGAGGACTATAGAGGAGGGATCAGGGAGGCATGATGCAAGGGGAGAGGGGAGGGATGATGATGATGATGATGATGATGATGCTGATGCTGATGACGATGGTGATGGGCATGGTGATGATGATGAAGATGAGCACAACGATGATGCTGATGATGATGTGGGTTGTGGCGATGATCATGATGGTGATGATGCTGATGATGATGAGGAGGAGGAGGAGGAAGTGAAAACGAGGCAGCAATGAGCTGGACGTAGAGGGCAAGGAGTGCGAAGACGAGGACTGAGGAGGGTTAGAAGCAGGAGGAATACTGGGATGGAGGGTGGCGGAGGAGGAGGAGGAGGAGGAGGAGGAGGAGGAGGAGGAGGAGGGGATGTGGGAGGACGACGGAGAGGAGCAGAGGATGGGGTTAGGAGGAGAGAGGTGGATGAAAGAACATTCCTTTGCTTTTAGCGCGCAGGGGCCTGAAGCAAACGAAGCAGCGGGCAGTGCAAGGGTCGGTCGACGGATAAGGCAGAGAGAACAGCTGCGATCAGGGTTGACGACCTCGAGAAGTTGGACCTGAAGTACCGGTTCCTGAGCCTCGAGGAGAAGTCCGTTTACGAGCCAGCCTAGAAGGGACGGGAGAAGGGGGGCTGACGAGTGCCAGCTCATTTGGGGAAGCCGCCCCTCGAGCTGTTACCTTGGCATCGCTCGGACGTGTGCATCTTATACCGGCGAGGACCATTGAGGAGCATCTTGGGTCACCTCGCGAAAGAATAAATCCACGAAATCGAAAAGTGCACAGAGAACGGACGTCCGAACGATGGCGAGTTACCAGAAACGTGCGGGGGGGAGCGCCGCCTGTGCTTGCATCGCGTCGTTTGCGTGCACCGCGTGGTGTTCGAGTGTTTTCTACATCGAGTGTTGTGCATGCTCCTTCTCCAAGTCCCAGTCTCCAGAGAGAGAGAGAGAGAGGGAAAGAGAGAGAGAGAGAGAAAAAAAGAGAGAGAGAGAGAGACAGAGAGAGAGAGAGACAGATTGTGTTTTTGTTGTGCTCTCTCTGTCTGTCTGTTTCGCTTTCTGTCTGCTTGCCTGCCTGTCTGTTTGTTTGTCTGTCTGTCTGTTTGTCTGTCTGTCTATCTGTCTCTACTTGTCTGTCTCCTTCTATTTCTCTTTCTCACTCTCTCTCTCTCTCTTTCTCTCTCTCTCTCTCTTATATATAGATGTTTTTTTGTGTTGTTTTGTTTTCTCTCTCTCTCTCTGTATATATATACGTACGTACATGTAATATATATATATATATATATATATATATATATATATATATATGTATATATGTTCCCCGCATGCGTATGCACAACATTTTGAAGGCTCGCTCGGCTCTGCCTTGAACTTTAGCCAAGGGAACTTGGTAACACGAAGGGTTAGAGGATGCATAATCCCTAACAGGAACGGTTTCCGGTACATCTGCCAACAGCAGCCTTGAATATGTATAAAGTGACGGATAAGGATCAGGAGGGAAAGAAACACACAGACACCATTAATCGCCGATTCCCCAGAAAATGAGGGAATATATGGGAAGTGGGGTGGAAGACAAAAACCCAAATCATTGGAAAATATGGGATGTTTTTTTATTTGTGTGTATATATTTGTGTGTCCTGGGGCCCCATTCAAAGGAAGAGGGGCGGGGGAGCACGGATGAAGGCACGAGGTTTTCTGATCCTCCTCCGTCTTCTAGTGCTCCGCTCGGTTTTCTTCTCCTCATCCTGGTGTTCCGTTGGCTGTTCCTCCCCGCTTCTTCTTCTCCTCCTGCGTGGGGCAGTCGTGCCGCTCTCGTGGGGTCGTTCCGAAGCCCACCCCACCCATCGCGGCTACAGCTGGGGCCCTTCTGGGCGCATTCGAAACCTTTCGGAACCACGTTCGAACTACCGCGGGCTCTTTGGGCTGTCGTGGGGCCGTCTCGAAGCTTCTTCGGGCGGCTGTTGTGTTGTGCGCACTGCGGGAGCAGTTACGACTCCCTGGAAGCCGTCTGTCTTGGGCCGTGATGGGTTCATTCGGAATTATTTTTCTGGTTTGGGCTTACTGTTTGCCCATCCTGGCCAAGCTGGGCTCTCTTGAGGTCCTCTACGGATGTTAATCCCCTCTTGGGCTGCATTGGGCCTCCACCTGCTCTTTCTGTGACGTCTTGAGGCGATTCTGGGATTTTGGAGGCTGCGAAACCCGAGCAGGCGATCACACCAACTGCGCTCGACATCATAATGTTGTATTCTATTTCGGCCTCATGGGTGCGTGCGTTTCCGGGGTCCCCTCGGGGCCCCCATTGGGTTGTGTTGGGGACCTTCGGGGCCATCTTGACGCCACCCGTGGCCGTCTTTGTCTGTTCGTCGTGGGAAGCTTGGAGCCGCGTTGGCACCCTCCTGGGACCATCTGGGGCCTTCGTGGGCCAGTCAGAGGCGGTCTGGGGCACTCGGGGGGGCGGCTGGTCTCCGCCCGGTCGCACGAGACGAGGTGGAGCCAGGACACACCGATCGGCAACAGGGGTGACGCTGGGAAGGTCCTGTGCGGTCGCGTTCAGCAATTGTTCGAGGACTACCTCAAGCGCCACCGCCCCGTGCTGATCGAGAACCTAGGTACGAAGGCGCGCTACGACAAGACGTTCACGGCGGAGAAGGACGCTGAAGGCCACGGCGTTGACATGCAGCAGTTGGTGCATGAGTTGTCCGTGAAACTGACCGCGGGGCCTGGCGCCCGCAAGCAGGAAAGGGCCAGTATAGCCAGAACCAAAGTCCGAAGTCAGTTCATGGAGCCACGCGCGCGCACCGCTGCAATCCAATATTCTTTCGAGGCGCCCAGGTGCGCAAGACGCCATTTCCGGGCTGCTGGCGCGATAGCCAGGTCAGCGCCTTCAGCCACGAGGTCTTCGACGTACCCTTCGGGGCGTCGGGCGGCGAGCGGTGCGTGACATCCTGTTCGAGGAGTTCTCCAAAAACGCGTATAGGTTCGAGGTGGGCCCAGCGGCGATGCATCGGCAGCTCCACCACCCTGAGGAGATCCACAACAAGGTTGGGGGCCTGACATACAACGTTGCGCGAACATTCGCCTGCGGCCTTGAATTGGCGACGGGCTCCGTCGCAAACGAGGAACTCCACGTGTAGCTACGCGGGTCCGTTTCCAATTTGGTCCGCGGGCGGCTGCCCACGCGCCGCCGCGTGGAAGACCGCTGAGAAAGTTGATCTCAACGGTCCCTGGAACAGCGTCAGCGCGCCGCAGATGCGCGCCCCCCGCCGGCGAAGGTCGGGCAACTTGCCCCCGGGGGCGAGCGGGGGCGCGCGGGGGCAAATCAACCGCGAGCCAGGATTTCACCTGGCTGGCGCGGGCTCTGGGGACGCATCTTTCTGGAATTGCGCCCCCGCGCACTCCTGCAGCGCAGTTGCTTTCTCGGGCCCGCCGCGTCGGCTCCGCGAATGGCCGCCGCGGACGCATTATCAACTCATGCCCCTGGCGCGGGCGCGCGCCGTCTGTCGAGGTCAGGCAGCGGCCCCCCAGGAGCGCGCGCGCGGGTTCGTCGTGCCAACGCCAACGACGAGAGAGGAATCCGACGCGCTTGCGAGCGTTAAGAAATGATTTGGCGGACTGCGCCCGCGCGCGCGCCTCTGTAGCGAAGTGCCTTCTCAAGACTGCGACGGCGGCTTCCCGAACGGCGCTTGCTGTCCTGATTGGGGTCGCCTCTAGCGCGACTGCTCTCCATCGCGGGCTCCTGCGCCCGAGGAGGGCACGAGACGGAAGGGCGGGCCCTCGTTCCCTCTCTCTTTTCTAAGTGCGGCTCCTCTGTCTGTTTTTTCTCATTCTTCACCTCGCCATTTCCCCTTGCCCCATTTCTGTTCCTCTCTTCTACTTTCAGTGCCCCCCCGCTCCTTGCCCGCTTTCCACGTCTCCTCCTCTCCCCTGTTTTCGTTCTCAGTATGCGCCCCTTTTCGGTGCAAGTTCCCCCCGGCTCGGGGGCCTCGGGCTCTGGGGCCCCTCGGGGCGCGTCGACTCCCAGCAGCGACGCGCGGGGGCGGCGCCCCGCGGCTCTACGAGGCAATGCCCGATGGAGATTTGCCATCGGGGGATGGGCCAGGAAGCCCGCGAGACACCTGACAAGAATGAACTGCCATGCCGGTCGCGTGGACCAGAACGCGAGAGCCCACTGGTGCACTCGTGTCAACGCCCCGGGTCCAGGAACCCATTGGCCATGAACCAAGGCAAATGCGTTCGGCCGCGATCTACTGCGGTGGGCGACTCCCGGTCCCCGGCAATTCCGAATGATGGGAAACGTGGAATCACGCCAAAAAAGGATCCTTTTTTTTCCGGCGATTCCAGGTTTCCTTTGAATCCGAATTGTGGGAAACGTGGAATCCTTGCCAAAAGAAAGAATTGTGTTTGCAGTGATTCCAGGTTTCCCTTAATTCTGAAATCGCGTTTGTTGCGGCGATTTCCAGTTCCCCCGTAGTTCCGAAGTATTGACATTTTGAATTTCAGCGAACAAACATTGTTTTTGTTTTTTCCGCTGTGGTTTTGGGTGTCCCGCAATTGGAACTCCTCAGCTGCCTCTCGCCTTTGGTTCCCCGAAATGTTTTAATTAACATTACGGGTGGTATTCCAGGATTTGTTCCGTCGTGAGTACATGTTTCCTACAATTCGGAATTATGTAAAACCCCGAATGTGTTCAAACAAAAATTTTCGTTGTGATTTCAGGTTTCCCGCAATTCGAATTATGGGAAACCTTGAATTCGAATTATGGTAAACGTGGATTCACAACGAAATCCACACCCTTTTCATTGTGATTCCAGGTTTCCCGCAATGCGAACCCCCAGCGGTCCCTCCCCTTTTGTCTTCCCGAAATGCGAACTTCGAATTACGGGGAACCTCCCGCATTGCGGGGACTCTGGAAAGAGGGTGGGGGCTGTCCGAGGCCATTTTGCAAGCCTTGGAAGGGAGAGCAGCGTCGTCTGGATCTCATGGGGGGGCCGATGTACCTCGAGGCCATTCGGTGGCTTTTCGCGGTCTCTTGGGTTGCTCCTCGGGGGCTTCGCGGGGCCACGATTGGGGCCACTTGGCGCCTCGCGGTTGCCTCTTGGGGCCTCTCGGGTGCGTCTCGGGGGCCTCATGGGGGCCATTTCGTTGTCCCGGCTAGTTGGGGGTCTCTCTTGGGGCGTTTTGGAGTGCGTTTTGGGCCCGTGTAAGGGGGGGGCTCTTGGGCCGTCTTGGGGTCCTCTTGTGAGCCTCCTCGGCCGTCTTTGGGCGGTCTTTGGGGCCTCTTGAGCCGCCTTGGGCGGTCGGAAGGTAGAACAGACGAGAATGGCAAACTTCATAAAAATTGCGCGGTCCTTCACGGGAGTTGCAGAGGATCCCAAATTCCTTGCGTCCGGGGGGGTCGTTCGGAGTTCGTCGGATTTGGTCAACATCTGTACGACATGTGGGCGAATTCTGGACGAAGGGGTGAAGAGGGGTGGTCGGATCTAGACGAAATACGATCGGAATCGCGGTTATGATCATGCCGCGGAGGTCCGCAGAGGCCCCCGTGAGGCTCACCCAAGTACGTGAGCCGATTAAGTAGCTCTCTAGGGCCCGACCCGTCGCCTGCGGGGCCGCATGGCTTTCGGGCCTTCGCTCGGGTCTCCCGCGGCCCCTGCGGTCCAGGCGGTGCCATTTTTCCAATTGTCGTGTTCGCCCGGTCTCGGGCCCCATGGGAAATTCAGCGGGTCTGAGAATGTCTGATGGTTCTGGTGGGAGTGCGTCCCGTGATCGTCGGATTCGTTGACAATAAGTGCGGCATATACACGAAAATGGCGAAGAGTGGCGGTCGAGATCAGGACCGAATGCGGTCCAAATCGCGTTTATGATCGGGCAGTGGAGGTCCACACAGATTCCAACGAAGGTTCGCCCAACACAGACATGCCACGCACAATCAATGGTTTCGCCTCTTGGCGCCCTTCTGGGGATTCCTTGGGTGCCTTCTCGAGGTGTGTGAGGAGCTTCTGGAAAGGTCTGGAGGCAATGTGGAGCTGTCCCCGAGCGTTTCGTCGGAAACGCTCATGGCGACCCATTTGCAGTCTTGGGAGGTCTGGGGTCCGTCCGGGGGAGGACCTGAAGCAATCCTGGGCCATTTCGGGGGCTGTCCGGGGCCGCCTTCTGGGCTGTGGGAGGGGGGTGACGGCATGTGGCGGGCGGGGGGGGATCTGCAAATTTGTGTGCACGTGCGTTCTTGTGTACATGTACGTAAGTATGTATGTATGCATGCATGAATGCATGCATACGTGTATGCATGTATGAATGCATGTATGTACGCACGTATGTATGTTTGTGTGTAAGTACGTCCGCACGTATGCATGTACGTTTGCATGCATATGTGTATGTATGTACACGAATGCATGCATGCATGCGTGTACGCATATGTGATATGTGTGTAGTGTTGTGTAAATGGTTTATATATACATATGTGTATGTGTGTATGTATGTATGTATGTATATGTGTTTGTATATGTGTGTACGTTCGTACGTATTCATGGCTGCATGAATGTATGTACGTATGTATGTATGCATGTATGTATGTATGTGTATGCATGTATGTATGTATGGACGGACGGGCGGATGGATGGATGCATGGATGTACGCATGCGTGCGTGCGTGCGTGTGTGTGTGTGTGTGAGTGCGTGCGTGTGTGAGTGCGTGTGCATGTGCGTGCGCGTGCGCGTGTGCGTGTGCGTGTGCGTTTGCGTGTGTGTGTATGCGTGTATGCGTGTTCGTTTGCGTGTGTGTTTGCGTGTGCGTGTGCGTGTGCGTTTGTTTGTGCGTGTGCGTATGCGTGCGCGTGCGCGTGTGCGCGTGCGCGTGCGCGTGCGCGCCTGTGCGCGTGTGTGTGGTTTCCACGTCTGAGTGGCCCTTTTTTCTCCTTACCCCCGCGGCCGCCTGCTTTGCCCTCTTCCCACTCTTGCATGCTGACCAATTCGCTTTTCGGTGCCCACATCTAGCTCTATCGCTGGTGCAGCCAACTCTGCCTCGCCGCCGACGGAGAAAGTGTGTGTGTGTGCGTGTGTGATTGTGTGTATGTGTGTGCGTGCGTGTGCGTTGGGAGGGGGGCGCGCGTGCGCGCGTGCGCGCGTGCATGTGTGTAGGTGTGTGTGTGTGTGCGCGTGTGTGTGTGTGTGTGAGTGTATGTGCGTGTGTGGGTTCCTGAGTATTCCCGGATACCTCTCTGAGGGCTAAGAGGGTTTCAGATTAGAAGCCTTCCCAACACGTGTGCCGCCTAGCTCTCCAGAAGCTCTTTCGAAAGCTCTTTCGAAAAGTTTCTGGAACTCCTTCCAGAGGCTTCTGGAAGGCCTGCTGGCCCTCCGCCGTCCGGGGGTTTTGGATTGCACAATTTTCTACGGATGCAGAAATCTGTGCGTTTACGGTAGTTTTAAGTCGGGTCTGTCCTTCCTACCCTACAGGGGGCAATATTCAAAAATATTACAAAATAGTCTGGGGACGATGTGTTTGGCATTGTTCTACCAGTTGGGGGTATTTTTGGGGCGTTTGTTATTTTTCGCCCAAAATCCGCCTGTAGGGGGACAGGCCCGACCTAACGGTAGTTCCCCTGGGGTAATGGAGGATGATGATTAAAAAATAACCGGGGGTCGTGTTCACGCGGCGGCGCCCGGGATGACGATTAGAAAAAACCAGCCGCGGGCTGGAACACCATCTTTTTTGAATCGTTCTCCTCCAGTCAGAAGCTTGTGCAGAAATACCAGAAAACTATGTTTGTTTTATCGTTCTCCCCCATTTTTTAAAATAAGTCGTCATCCCGCATTAACGGTGCTCCTCCGGCTCCTGCTGCTCCTGCTCCTGCTCCTCCTCCAACTCCTCCTCCTCCTCCTCGAACTCCTCCATCTCCTCTTCCTCCTCCTCCTCCTCGTCCTCCTCCTCCTCCTCATTCTCCTCCTCCTCCTCCTCCTCCTCTTAATCCTCCTCCTCCTCCTGCACCTCCTGCTGCTGCTCCTCCAGGCGCGAGTGGCCGCCCTCCTCCACGGGACGACCCGTGGCCATCTTGGGGGTCTGGGCTCTCCCGTGGCGGTCCCGCGGCGGTCCCGTGGCAGTCGAGCCGCGGGGCGGCGCGGGACGCTTCGCAGGCCTTCGCGAGCTGCTCGTACCGCCCCACAGGAGGAGGAGGATGAGGAGGAGGAGGAGGAGGAGGAGGAGGAGGAGGAGGAGGGAGGAGGAGGGCGGAGGAGGAGGAGGAGGAGGAGGGCGGAGGAGGAGGAGGAGGAGGAGGCTCAAGATGCCTTCGAGATGCCCCGAGAGGGCCACGCGAATCCTCGAAGAATGGATGCTGCAGGCTGCGCCCGAGAGCGCAGAACGTCTCCAACCAAAAAAGCAGCGTGCTGTTTGTTGTAATCTCTCTTTCTCTCTCTCTCTCTCTCGCTCTCTCTCTCTCTCTCTCTCTCTCTCCGATGTCTTTTTTCGAATTGCGGATGGCCCCGAAGGCCCCAGGAAAGCCGACAACAGAGCCCAAAGAGGCCCCCACGGGAGCACAACAGCCCCCTAAGGCGATCCCTCGGTGGCCACTAGAGAGTTGAAGATGCAACGCCCTGAGACGCCTTGCGAGACTCACAAGAAGGGTCCATGACTTCAAGTCCCAAGATGTCGCCAAGAGAACCTTGAAGAGGCCCCCAAGTGCGCCCCAGGAGCTCGGGATGCCACAATACCCACATAGGACTTCACCAACCTTCGAGGAAAGTTTCCAAGAGGCCCACAGCAAAAGTCCCAAGACGCCCTAAGAGGCTCTGCCTACCATAGGCTCTAGTTTTCTTGTATGTTGTTCCTCTTCTTTCTATTTCCCCTTCTTTCTTCTCATTCGTCCTGGTTCTTTCGATGCAAGTCCATGAAAACGAACAACGTGGGAGTTGCTCTGAGGCTTCCCAGACTGGCCAGGACCGTTGCACAAGCGCAAGTGCATAGCTAGCGTCCTCGTTCTGCTGCTGCTGCCCCTCCTCCCGCTTCCCTTGTCCCAGGGGTGTGAGCCAAACGGAAGGAGTCATCTCGGTGGTTGTTCTCTGGGGCACTCCAGAACCAGGACCAAATAAGGGCATACACGTACATGGATCCACGTTGGTTTCGAGAGTACGCGTTGCGAGAAAGTGCGTATCGCGAGGCTGGTCTCGCGGACTGGGGGGCCGTATTCATGCACATGGTTGGGCGCGTCCGTTCGTCGTGGGCCCCTCCAGAAGCCGCCCAGAGGAGACCAAGATCCTCGCCGAGGGCGTCGCTGGGAACACGGGGCTGCGCTCGCTCAACGTGATGTGCGGCGGGCTGGGGGACGAGGGCGCAAAGGCGCCCCCCCGCCGCCGCCGCCGCCCCAGCCGTCTTCGTCGTCGCCGTCGTCGTCGTCGTGTCCTCCCATCTGGGCGTTGTGCACGGGCACTGCAAAATTGCGCCCCCTTCCCTGCCCCCCATGGGGCCCTAATGGAACCCTTCGCGGCCCTAGCCCGGCTCGAGAGACCCCCCCCCCCCCCTGCGGCGCCACCAGCACGTGGCCGAGAGAGCGCCCGCTGTGCGCTTCCGCTCCGCGGCGCCCCGCCCGCTGAACAACCCGCCCTCGGCGGTCGGGGGCGACTGCACGCCGCCCCTCCCATCGGGGCGGAGGAGGAGGGGGAGGAGGAGGAGGAGGAGGAGGAAGATGATGATGAGGAGGAGGAGGAGGCCTCCTCCTCATCTTCCTCCTCCTCCACCTCCTCCTCGTCCGCCTCCTCCTCCTCCTCCTCCTCCTCCTCCTCCTCCTCCTCCTCCTCCTCCTCTTGCGCTCTTGCGCTCCTCAGCAGTCGTCCCGATGACACAAGGCGCCTGCCCTGACGAAAGACAAAAGTTACGGCCTGCTGAGAGGCACAGGGATGACCACCTCGCGCTTGGGGTGCGAGGGATCCTTCCCCTGTTTCAAAAGTCCCAGGGCCTTCGACTTCCATTCAGTTTCAGGTCTTCCCTGACAAAGCCTGCCTAATTCCTTGTCCTGCATACGGGCATACGCTCCACAGCGCACGCACCAGGTCAAGCTTCCATTCTGCCAGAGACGGTGGGTGGGGTGGGCCTGGGCCACGGTCCGCGGGACCCCAGGGCACGGCAGCTGCACCAGCCGAGAGCGTATCGCCCTCGCCCCGCCACACACTCTACACCCCCACCCACCGCCAGGAGCCTGTGAGATTACGTGACCCTTATCATCTGGGACTATCTCCAAAATCTGGGTGTCCGAATTTGCTGGCTCCCGCTTGGCACGCTCAGAATAAGACGAAACATCAGGATAACCCAGTGCGTGGACGTGCTTGAGCACAGCCACCATGTATCTGGATATGAAGGTTACCTGATCATGATGGAACCTAAGACGATCTCGTAGATGATTATTTTGCGGATGCGCCTTGGCTCCCGCCTTGGCCCAGGAGTCGGCGTCCTGGTTGCCCTGAATCCAGTGCGGCTCGTAGCCGCGCCTCTCTGCCGCTGCCTTCGCCATATGCGAGGGCATCCAACGGACGTTCACTAAATTGGCTCCGACGTCGTTTGTCCTGTCCCAGATCTGTCGCCAGAGCTCTGCGTAGCACGTGTTGCTTTTAACTGTTCCCTCCCTTCCCGCCTTCCATCCACCGTGCACCATCTTACAATGGGTAATCACGTGAATCTGTGGCCCCATCAACAATAGGGCCATGCAGAAAGCGTACAACTCGCTGGACGGAACGTCCTGCACACGGAGGGGGTTTGGCCCGTAGGCCACTGCTTCAATCATCATATCTGTACGTACCGAAACCAAAGACCAACCTGCGCGCATCAGCCAGCGAACGTCGCTGTCGTAGGCCGAGCCGTCGATGCAGACTGTATCTCCTAACGCACCACTGCCGGGCTTGACCGCCCACTTATACGTAGCGCCTTGCAGGATCTTGGGGAACTGGGCACGGGTGGAGTCTACTAGGCCTCTAGTCCACCTTATATCAGGTCCCTGCTGAGCCCGTGCAGCGTCCCCTAGCCCATTGTGACCATGATCCCTCCGAAGCAGACAGGACCCATCACACCTCCAAATCCTGTGATACACGGTCCCTGGTTCCTGCAGGCACCACTGGCACCTATCATCGACCACGAACTTCTTCCTGAAACCGTCTCGCTGCGTCCAGAGCCCTCCAGACACCTGTGCGATAAGCACACTAACCCCAAGATGATCTCCAAGACCTCTTAATCTGGCAAGTTCAGCACGTAGAGGCTCCACATAGGGCTCCTCAGAGACATTGTAATATGCTCCAGCCCGCATGCGCAGCAACCTCCTGGTCGCTTCATCCGCTAGGGCTTGCACAGTCCTAGGCCCAATCTCCTTGACTCCGATGGTCACACCATCCGCGTTGACCCAAACGTCCCAGGAGAGGGCCTCCCAATCCAGCCCCTGAAGGGTGAGGACCACCGCTCCAGCTAGGCCTAGGACTGTCCTCCACCCTTGGTTCCTAATCTTGACGGCATAGTCGAAGGCATGCTTCATCTGGGCGTCGGACGCCCACGATTCAAACACTGCTCTAACCCACATCTGCGCGGTAAAGAATTGGCGAGGAACATCGGGTCTAGCTTCTCCACCTCGGCCAACAAAAACTGGATGCTGCGGCTACGGCCCTTGACATGCCCAAACAGCGCTGCTCCTGTGGACGCCCTCTGCTGCTCCAGCTGCGCGTCTCCGAGGCCCACGACCGAGACGCCGTGCATCACAGGAGGGGTGGGCCCTCCCCGATAGACGTTTTGCAGTGGCTTCCTCGAAAACCTGAACGCCCTGAACCTCCTGGCCCTTCCCCTCGTAGTCGCCAGACGCTTGTTGGTTACATTTCTCCTTTTTCCACTCCTGAGCTTGAAATCGACCCCCATGTTTTTTGTCGCAAGAACTTGCCGAAACCGAACCCCTTGAGCCCTCCACACAAACTCCCCCCAACATCAAGTCTGAAGCCACGAGGGGCGATCTCTTGCGAGGAACCTTCAGCTCGAGTTGTCCGGGTGAAGTGCAAACGGACCGCGTGTAACTTACCAGTTGTTGCTTCACATACGCATGACTGCCGACCGCTTGAAAACTCGAGTCATCGACCATCAAAGATACCACAATTATCGGCCACCTTGTAGCCGCCTCGTCAAAACCAAAAAAAAACTAACACAACCACCTTGAGCAACATGGTAGCGTACGAGCAGCCCGCCACGATCGTGGTGTTCAATTCAAACGGCAGTGAAACGGCCTCTCCAACCTTGATCACCCTCTTGCCTGAGTACACCAGCAGAAGGAACCTCGCCCTCCTCAGGATGAACCCATGTGTTCTGCAAGCCTTGATCAGCTGTTCATGCGTGATATGTTCATCGGCCTTCTCTAAAGCAATCAGCGTGCATCCACTGAACAACTTGCTGGCACGAGCGGCCTCATTCACCAGGGCCTGCGTCCAGATCTCCATCTCACAACTCTTCCCTTTTCCCCCATAAATGTACTGCCGAGGATGCTGGGATTCCCGTTCTTCCGCCTCCCCGTGCCTCATCCTGCTAAACAAGCGGATGGGGGCCGCGATGATGCCAATCGGCCGTCGACTTCCTTCAGGCTTTTGCAGGAACGGCAAAATGAGCAGCGCAACCTGCTCTGGCAGCACTGCGCATGTGTCCCATAAATACATCAGGACATTGAGGGCAAGCAAACCTGAGTTGCACAACTGCTTCACAACGTTGAGGACCCCCGACTTTTGTCAAAGCTGGCCTCCAGATAAACCTGAAAGACGATCCTCTTCCTTTAAACCCGTCTGCCTGCGCTGGGTGCACTTGGTAGGTGTTCACCAGCTCCTGCTCTGCCAAATCACAGAACTCTGCATACGTGGACCTCGCCTGCTCCGCCGTGAAGTTCGAGCCCCCGAAGTAGGTCCCCAACCGATCTAGAACATCTTGCCGACCCTGCGGTGGCCCTGGTGCTGGTCCGACTGGTATCTCATCGGGAAAAGGACGAGGCTTCGCCAGCACCCGAATCTGGGCCAGATGCGAACCAGTCCTGCGCACAAGCGTGACAGGGTAATGCGTGGACACCTCGGTCTCGTCGGTTCGTTCGCATCTAACCACAGATGAAACCAAGCCTCCTGGCACACTATAATAGTCCAGCGTCCTCCACTCCTTGCCCACTCTGCATGTGGGCTTCGCAGGCTGAATCACCACTCCCCCGAACTTCTCCAAGATCCCAGGCGCTCTAATATCATCCGCCGTGGCGTTAAAGCCCCCCAATGACGAAGGGCTTCCCCGATGAGCACAGGAACTCCCCAAGCTGCAAGAGGATTTGGCGCCCTTGGGCCCCAGCACCATCCCCAGACGGCAGATGCACCGAGGTACAGATCACACCTCCTCGAACGAGTCTACCCAGCCATATCGAAGCAACTCTTGAGGACGGTCGAGGCATACCTTCCATGGCCCCCATGCCTACGCCTAATCTACAGGCTACACCTACACCCGAAGACAGCCCTCCAGACTGGGTCACCCCACTGGCTCCAAACCTAACATTCCAACCTGCCTTCAAAAGGGTGCTACCAGCTTGGGCCACGTCGGCCCTCTCAACCTTACATTCTTGCAGGAAACATGAGACTCCGTTACATTCTTTCCCCAAAAAAACTCTGGCAGCGCGACCAACTCGTGACGTTGGTTGTGCAAAAGGACCACAAGCTGCTAAACTCGCTGCTTGGAACCCTCAGACGCCCTCGACCTGCCTGGGCTCCTGCTGCGTGCATCTCGTTTGTCCATCTCTTCTCTGTCCTCCTGATGCCGCTGCTGGGCTTTGCCGAGGAGGGACTGAATCGTGGCCTGGACTTCTGGGTCCTTGAGCTCCTCATGAGTCTCGAACTGCCCTCGGAGCTCTGCAGTCCAGGAATCCCGAGCAACAGCATCGCCAGCACCACCCATCTGAGCATCTCCTGCAGCCTCAGCACCAACGCCCGCGGCCTGGGCTCCCGCCGCTGCCGCGCTGGCCTGCGCGGGCCCCTGCGGGGGCGCCCCGCCCGGCCCTGCGCGGCCTGGCTCCGCCGCGCACACCTTCTGGATGACCTGCTCGATGGCCTTGCCGAGGTGCTCGAAGGCCTCGGCGAGCTGAGGCGCCACCTCCTGCGGCACCGCCTCCTTGAGCTCCCCCATGGCCTCCTTGATTGGCCCTTCAAACTCATTAGCCTGGACCACGGGCGTCTGCGCCGCCTGCTGGCCCAGATGCTGGGCCGCTCTGCGCTTCGCCTCCTCCAGCTGTTCCTCCGTCTCGCGCAGCTGCTCCTTCGCCTCCAGCACCGC